TGGGGAATGGAGAGAGGTGAGGTGGTTGTATTGTAGAACAGAATGCTGCTCTCTTCAAATGGATGTAGCAAAAATAGGTTAGGTTACATTTTTATCACCCCAGATCGGTTAAATAGGCTGGGAGAGAGCTAATGCTGCACCATAAAAGAATATAAATCTTATAAAAGTAAAAAAAAAAAAAGCCCCATTCAATTCAATACCTCTCGCTAGCATTCTGTATGTCATATACATGCACTCACCATGATTTTGAGTCAGTTTGGTGCCTGTCCAGTGACGTTGGTGGGTGCAGAGCCTACAGGTGCAGCCCCAGCTTCTTCTGGCAACTGTTCATCCCCGGGTGAGCTCAGGCAGGAATGATATCCTGGCTCCAGGAAGGCCTGCTCCAAAAAAATAGATGAGGCAAACACAGAAACTATTCCTTGAAGAAGGAGGATATGAAATGGTGCGGAGGAGGAGAGCCCTGGTGTCGAGGGGATGTGCTGTTTGGGGATGGAACCGAAGCGAAACCTGGCGCTCTGCCTGGCAAACAAAGGCAACTCTGATGTGTTTGAAAGGCCGTGGTTTAACAATGATGATAATCCCCCCCCCTTTGCAGAGCATTGCCGAGGTGTTCCGATGTTTTATTTGTATGGAGAAGCTGCGGGATGCCCGCCTGTGCCCCCACTGCTCCAAGCTGTGCTGCTTCAGCTGCATCCGGGTGAGTTCGCTGCTCAGAGTTTTATTTCTGCAGATGCGTGAGCTGAAAACCGGCTGATCTTGTGAGAACGTTCTTGTTCCTTTTCCTGGAGTTCCAAGGATTCCTTTTTTTTTTTTTACTTCCTCCTCAGTTTCCCTTTCAAACACTTTTATAACACCCTGAGGAAAAACTAGGCGGGCTGTGCTCTGCTAATTATAGGGACCATCTGCAATGAGTGCTGTTAAGGAAGAGACACACAATGATTCCTTCTTTTAGCATCTCCTGAGAGCCTGTGGTGCCTGTGTGGAAGGCAAAAGTTGGGACAGGAATCAGATGCTGACTTTGCATCTGGGAAGGTCATAATGTCACCTCTTGTACCCTGGAGATGATTTATAGTGCTCATCAGACCAGTGATCAGAAGGGTTTAAATCTTTCTCAGAGGAGTCTGAAGCAGCACCAGAATGTCAATTAATTTAAGGTGACGGTTACCAGTATATAACACCTCAGTTGCAAACCAGCTGCAGTTACGTGTTGGTGTAGCAGGAGAGGGTTCAGCTGAGGTTTCCAGCCCTCCAAGTAGTATTTCCAGAAACTGGAACAGACATTCATCCTTTGCTTTGAAAGCTCTGACAAGAACTGGAGGTGAAGGATTCGTGCTGCATATTAAGGGTGTTGGATGACATATTGTTGCTGGGTGGTGAGAGATTATTCATGAGAAATCTTTAAATGTAGTAGTGAGCTGACAAATATAAGCCCATCAGCTGCTGAGCTCTTCCACTTGGGAGTTGCAGTGGGCAGGTGAAGTTCTTTGCTCAGCTGTTTGTCTCTGGAGCTTTCTGGAAGAGAAACATTCACAGGTCCCTGTGGATTTGATCACTGAACTGCAGGTATTTAACTGGCCTATAAATAGGAAGGAATAAGTTACCTTGAAGACTAATTAGACTCTGAAAAATAGGCTTGTTGTACCTTTTGGCTTCCTCTGTTGAAATGTTCTCTTTAGTCTGAGACTCCAAGAATCTGCCAAGTGGGTGGCTTCTAATGCAGTATTTGGTACCTCAGACTCCTCTGTGTAATTTTAACTGAAGCATCTTTGACATCTAAAGAAAAGTGGTTGCTTGTTACTAAGGTACAAACAGCAGCTTCTTCTGTGACTAAGTGGTTGAACAGTTAAATCTGTTAGGGAAAAAAAAGGAAAATATAGAGGAAGACCATAATAAAAATAAGTAATTAATGATAGAATGTACTTGCCTGCAGTTCTTTTCTTACGGTCTCTTTAAAAAGGTTTTTCCTCTTTCCATCACAGCGTTGGCTGACTGAACAAAGAGCTCAGTGCCCTCATTGCAGGTAAGGTATTTTTAATATCAGAAATAAGTTATCAGGAATTGGCTGTACTGCCCTGTTAGGACTGATTTTATTTCTTATTTTTTTTTCAGTGCAGGTTGCATTAAATTTATTAGCTTGATTACTTTTTTTTTTTTTGAGACCTGGCTGTTGGTACTGTAAAAATTGGCCCAGGTATAAAACTGACTTTAAAATACATTGTGGTCTAAGATCTTTGTCCTTCCCATGTAACACTGCTGTTTTCAGTGCATGTGGTTGATGTAATAAAAGCAACTAGATGGAATTCCTCTTAGAACTCTGTATTTTTCTTAGTCAGGGACCAGAAGCTTCACTTTCCAGACTGAAATGTGTCCTTTTTTTTGTGCTATAACTTGTATGACATCAGACACTGTGGGCTGGTTCATTGTGGTTCCCACCTCTCCCCAAATGGACAAACTGACTTAAAAATCTCTTTTTTTTTTCCCCCCTGAAATAACTAGTACAGCTTCTGCCTTTTTTTTTTTTTTTTTTTTACCTGTGACTCTTCTGGTAGTGCAGAACTGATGGGGTGAATTCTTTTATCTCCTGGAGCCACATGGTTGCTCAGCCTCTGCTGTGCTTCTCGCAGGGCCCCGCTGCAGCTCCGGGAGCTCGTCAACTGTCGCTGGGCAGAGGAGGTCACGCAGCAGCTCGACACCCTCCAGCTCTGCAA